GCTCGCTGGCAATCTGACTGATCTTGCGATATCCCCACGCACTGGCGATCGTCTCCTTGTACGTCTCCCCCTTTCCCATCCTCAAGCTCGAGCAGGCACTCGATCTGCGTCTCGACCAACGCGCGCTTGATGCTCGCGAGGCCGCCCTGGTCCACGGCGCCGGTGCTGGCGGGCGGCGCGGCGGCAACCGATCCCGAGCCCGGGGGCGGCGGTGGGCCGAAGCCCGGCCCCGCTCCCCGCGGCGGCGCGTGGACCTGGACCGCGTTCTCCTCGAAGGCACGATCGATGGAGTCCTGCGTCGCCCAGGCCAGGATCTCTCCCTGACAGCGCACTTCGATGTCGCGAAGCTCCTGCTCTCTCTGGTCTACGAAGGCCGCGTGCGACGGGTCGCGCTTGTACATCCAGCGCTTGTGCCGACCGAGCCTCCGCGCCTCCTGGTGGCCTCTCGACTCCGGCGCTGAGCTCGAACGTGTTCGACGGTCTCGGTCGGTCACGATCGCGGCCCCGATCTCGCTAGCCTCGATGCTCGCAGCGGCCACGGCCGCGGTCGCGATCTTCACGAGGGCGACCCTTGCCGCCGAAGCTGTCGCCACGACCTGCACCTTCTTTGCCCATGAGATCCCTCTTCTGCCTGTCCAGCCCCGCGGTGGCCCGGATCCAGGATCGGGGACTTTCTCGAGCCAGACGGACAGCGGAATAGTTGGGCAGGGAGCGCAGGAGACCGCGGGGGATATACAGCTCCGATATATACTCCTGGACGTGCATCAGCGCGGTAAGACGGCCTAGCTGTAGACGGCGGGCACGACGCACACGACCCATGAGGACCCCTCGGGGCACCCCGAGCGGCGACGGCAAGGCCCCGACCCACGGAATGGCGTTCGTCCGAGCACGGCCCTGAACCACGGGCCATGAGCACAACCACTGACGGTTCACATTCGTAGGGATAAACTGCAAGCTATACTCAGAAACGCGGCAAGATAAGTCAATCCAATCAAGAGGTACTCCTGGATGTCCATGCGGCATGAACACAGCGCTGAAGGGCTCCTCGAACACCCCTCGAACAGCATAAACCAAAACCCCCAGCCAAGAGATCTTCCAACTACCGACTCCAATTAATCGCGTCCCCAAGATCCCCAGGGAACAGAAATCCAAGAAACCCGGGTGACACTCGCGATTCCCGAGCTAGACCCTCTTCCGAACAAAGCTTGGCCGAAACCGCTGCAGCCGACATAACTCCACCTATAGCCATCCCAGCCATCTCCAAAGCCATCTCGCCCATCCTCACTAGGGTCTGATACGAAGCCGTGGCTAGAGCCCTCCGGAGAATCGATGACGACAAAAGCCCACCAGCCACGACCGCTGCCTCGCGGCGGTTCCATGCATGGCGATGAAACGTTTTCCTCGACGGATCACAAGGCGGCCCTGGCCTCCATTCGCACGGTATTTACGAGCGACGTAGTCCCAGGCGGATATGATTGAACTGGCTTTGCAGCTTTCAAATGCTGGGTCGATGTCCGCAGTCACAATGTGGAGCCTCGGGTCCATGGAGCGCTGGCAGCACGTGCGCGCACTTGGATCCGCTGGCATCTCCAGCGACAACAAAGATCATGCAATTTGCTTCCTCGCAAAGTTAATGCCGAAAACCTCGCGTGAAACTCCAGACTCGCTGACAACCGAACGGATGCCCATCGCAGCGGTCTTCCAGCCCGGCGCGCGGGGAGTCCCTGACATGTCCAGAACGCGGCGCCAGTGCGAATGCCCTCCCCCCCCCCCTCGTCCGAGCAGCACTTGCTTTTAACCAGAGGAAGCGACAGCGGTGGAAAAAGCTTCCTTCGAGGACGGCCAGGTCGCCTCCGCAGAAACAACGGGAGGCCCAACTGGGCCCGCGCATATCCCAAGATCTCCACCTGCGCGCGCGCGAGGCCCCCCCGGATACTCCAGAACGGGTCGCCCAGGACACCCTTGAGCAACGTCCAAGTCAGATTCCGATCGCCCCCAACACGGAGCGCCCCAGCGGATAGGGGCCCTTTCATGCGGGTTTCCCACCAATACCAATCTGAGGGAGGTCGCTGGGCACACGCCGGGTTATCTTGGGCACGACATTCGGACCGAATTTGCGCCCCCCGGCGGAACGCGCGAAAAGGAAGCAGAACCCGACGGGACCAGTCGGACCAGCGCGCACTGCATTGTCGCCAAAGCGTGGCGGGCGCATGCCAGACAGGTAAACGCCAGGGAGCAACTACTGCTCGAAGGGATCGGGTCTGACATGCTCTGCGGGTGGTCTCAGGACCGGTGAACTTCCAGCCGAACCTCAACTCGCGGATGCCCTTCTTCGAGTTGACCTTGTCAACCCACCGACCGGGTCGCCCCTGGCGCGCGCGAAGCCGACGACGGAGCCAATCTCGAATGTTGCTGTTCCTGATCGATTTCAAAATAGCTGAAAATTGCTGTCGATGGCGTGGCATATGATCTTGAACATACGCGGGCAAGACGGGCGGTGGAACACTAAAGGACTCGCGTAGCAAGTATTCAAAGACCATCAGAGCTTCCATGCGTCGCGCACCGCCTGGAATGAGTTCATTGATGAACTCCCCTGCGCGATGCAAGAAACCTGCAATCGCGTCCGCACCCCAGGATGGTGGGAATGCTACGCATGGCTTGTACGACGCACAGTAGGCGACAAACAAATTGAACAGGCCTTCCTCGAAGATACTGATGGGCGCGACTCCACCAGCCGCAGGCGCATGATGCCCCAGTACTCGTCGGTGAACGCACCTCGGAGCTGCCCAGGATGCTGTAGTACCTGCTCACGACGAAGTCGTTGTATGTCCTGCTGCCCTTTAGCATCCTGGAAGACTGGGGGGACCCAGATGGACTGGGCCTGCTTGGGACCCCGAAGCCGAAAGGGAGGTCGCCGCCGAACTGCTGCACGGCGCGATACCAGCAACTGCCCCGGCTTGGTCCCCTTTGCGTTGGTAAGCTTGGTCACGATTGTTGCACTCTGGATTCGCAAACTTGATGAGAAGAGACTCCAAACCAAAAGCCTGCGCTTCTAAAGGTAGCACAGCAACTGGTAGCATACATAATGTACCCAAAGACTTCCTCAACAGATGATATCTTGGCCAACCTCCCTTAGCATGATCTGGGAACATATAGCACGAATCTGCTCTCGAAGTCGTGCAGCAAAACCTGGTGTGGCACACGTGCGCACCAGGTTCGCCCTGCCAACGTAGGCGCCCGCCGCACTCCAGAGAACATACACTGATGACTCCAACGACGATGAACATGGTTCCCGACAACTCTGACACCATTGCAACCACTGGGAATTCAAACTGCCAACCTGAATTCTCGCATACGGAAGCAAGTTCGGAAAATTCGCGCAGCCCACCTGGGAAACTTGGGTTTCTGCAGCGTTTGATTCAGACGATTGACCCCCAAGGCCATGAAGATGTGTGTTATGATGACACACATGGGGGCGTCGGTGATGCCAGACTTCTTGCCCTGCGGGAGCGCCTTCAGCAACACACGATGTAGCAACAGCTGCAGGGCGGGAAGCCCCTGACGCGGAACCATGGACCATATCCAACTCCGTACTGTTGCCATATATCTGGCCGTCGGGGCTTGTACAAATGCCATGAACGGTTGAATCTCTTGCGCTGCCCAAGAGAAGCGTGTGGTCAGACAAGGCAATGCCATCGGGCGGTACCATCAGCAACCACGGTGGGCACAGAAGGACATGAGGTAGTGGTAGCAGACGGCGTGTGTCCTCGCGGAAGGCGAGGTGGCATATGGAGCAAACGAATCTGAATATGGACTGGGTGAGTCGTGCGTCACCGTAGCTGGAAGGCCGGCTTGGCGCACGTGCTTTGTGTTCTCCAAGGCGATGTTTGGGATGCGGAGTGGCGTCGGCCGTTAGGCAGTCTCCGTTTTCCTTGCACCACCAGGCCACTCGGGGCTCGATTCTTGAATCGAAGGACCGCCAGCGCTTCCTTGAGCATCCATGCGGAAGAGCGGGCTCCTCTGGGGCACGACCTCGAGCTACACGCGCCCACGGGAGAGAAAGTGTGTGTGTGTGTGAGTTTGTGTGTGTGCGTGTGCGTGTGCGTGTGCGTGTGCGTGTGCGCGCGTGTGCGCGTGTGCGCGTGGGCGCGTGTGCGCGTGTGCGTGTGTGCGTGCGTGAGTGTTGTGTGTGCATGTGTGTGTGTGCGTGTGTGCGTGTGTGCGTGTGTGCGTGTGTGCCTGTGTGCCTGTGTGCCTGTGCGCGTGTGTGCGTGTGTGCGTGTGTGCGTGTGTGCGTGTGCGTGTGCGTGTGCGTGTGCGTGTGCGTGTGCGTGTGCGTGTGTGTGTGTGTGTATGTGTATGTGTGGGTGCGTGTGTGTGTGTGTGTTTGTGTGCGTGCGTGCGTGTGTGGGTGTGTGTGTGTGTGTGCGTGTGTGCGTGTGTGTGTGTGTGTGTGTGTGGGTGTGTGTGTGTGTACGCACCCCAGCCTAGGGAGAGCTTCTATTTTCGCACCTCGGCCCCTCTGGTCATGCACAGAACCCTCGGAGCGATGAGCACCTGCGCCTCCAAGGCTGCAGGGCGCGGGAGCGGGCGCGTGCCCGACGCGCCCTCGGCTGCCCGCCGCGCTCGCCGACCCAGGTCTCTCCAGACCGACCCCGCCCTTATTTCAGAGGCGGAGCCCTTCAAAAACGCTGCAGCGCAGATCTTACTTCGTTTCGGCCGCTCTGTGCACACGCACATGGGCAATCGAGGCAAATCGTCCCATTCAGAGCCCCTGCTCCCTGCCCATCGCCTGCCCTATTCGTTGAAACGCAGGGCCCTGTATCTCTGGTTGGCCACTGAGGCTCACCCTCGCGAGCCCAACTGAAAATCTGCATGGATCGAACGCATAATAGCTGCGCAGCGAACACCTGTATAAACCGGGCCGCACAGCGGGAGAGCAGGTGCCCGAAGCCGGTATCTCTGCCCCCTGAGCCTGCCTGCCTTTGGTCACTCCAGACCCGCCCCTCGCCCCCTCTTTGTCAGGGGCAGAGCCCTGCCAACGCACCACGCAGGGTCGCGTACATCCGCCCCCGTGCCGCGAGGCACCGAGTGGAGTGTCCTGAGGTCCCCTTGAGACCTCTGTGTTGAACATTCCAACGACTTTTCCGGGGCCAGACCACCAACTCACGGGCGCCTTCTCGTGTGATTTTTCCAGAAGCCTAGGGAACGTGATTTGGAATCAACGCTTTCAACATGGTTAGGATGTTCTCATGACCTGTCCTGGAGCTCTCTTGGGGGCCTATTCGGTCATCTTGGAGGCCCTGGAGGCCAGCCCAAGAAGTCAAAATCGTCAACATCCGATGTACATTTAAAACAAGTGCATACTCGACTTGAGTCTAGCGAGGATGTTCAACATTGCAACCCGTTGCCGCCTCCTGCTCTAGGTGGGTCGGGCGAGGCTTCGCCACTTTGCCGTTTCGTGGCCGCCTTGGTGCAGCCTCCTGTGCTGGGTGGGTCTGGCGAAATCTCGCCGCGTTGCCGCCTTGTTGCCGCGTCGATCCCGCCTGGCCCAAGGAGGCTTGGCCACATTGCCGCCCGTTGCCGCCTCGTTGCCGCTTCGTGCGCTAGGCAGGTCCGGCGAGGCTTCGCCACGGTGCCGCCCGTGGCCGCCTCATTGCCGCTTCGCGCACTGGGTGGGTCCGGCAAGGTTTCGCAACGTTGCCGCCCGTTGCCTCGTTGCCGCCTCGTGCGTTGGGCGGCTCCGGCGAAATTTCGCAATTTTGCCGCCCGTTGTCGCCTCGTTGCCGCTGCGTGGGTCCGAGGAATTTTCGCCCCGTTGCCGCACTTTGCCACCTCGTTGCCGCCTCGTTTCCGCCTCGTGCGCTGGGTGGGTCCGGCGAGGTTGCCGCCTCATTGCCGCCTCGTGAGCTGGGTGGATACGGCGAAGTCTCGCCACATTGCCGCCCGTTTCCGGCTCTGGGTGGGTCAGGCGAGGTGTTGCCGCGTTGCCGCTGGTGGCCGCCTCATTGCCGCCTCGTGAACTGGGTGGATACGGCGAAATGTCGCCATGTTGCCGCCTCGCTGCCGCCTCGTGCGCTCGGTAGGTCAGGCGAGGTGTTGCCACATTGCCTCCCGTTGCCGCCTCATTGTCGCCGCTTGCGCTGGTTAGGTCCGGCTTCGCAACGTTGCATCGTTGCCGCCTCGTGCGGTGGGTGGGTCCACCGAAATTTCGTCACGTTGCCATCCGTTGACGGTTCGTTGCCACCTTTAGCTCGCAACACGTATATTATCCTGTCTAGCAAAGAACTCGGATCTACCACACCCCGAAACCATGATGATCCGTTCCCCGTGGGAACGCCGTTCATTCCAAGTTTGAACTCATACTATCCCGGCCAGGCCGGTATCGACTGCCGCATCACCCGTAGCAATTGCAATAGCAATAGCAATAGTAAACCATCGAGTTACAAGAACTCCTCGCGAATGAATATGGCGAACTCTACGCGCTCGCGTCGCGAGAGGGTACCAACATCTTTAACAAAATGTGACTCGCAAGGTTGTAAAAATGAAACATGCCGGAAACAAGCAAAACACTCTGTCTGGCAACATGAATTTCGACAGAGGTATGCGCGCGCTCTTGCGTAATCTGAGAACCATTTGTGCTGTTCAACATGTCCATCACATGCGACAGATACGGGTCTCTCGCGCGCGCACGTGTCGACATTACTCGAAAGCCCTTGCGAGCGTGGTGGCGGAGCACGATCCTTCGCCAGTAACACCGCGCAGGCCAATCGCGCCCGTCGGCCGCGCTCGCGTCGGAATCCCCCCGAAACCATCATCACCGACACGTTGACACCATCATCGTCATCGGTGTGATTAACACCGTCGCCGTCATTGGCATTGCCGTCGCCATCGTCGTCTTCGTCACCAACATCGCTGCACTCATCATCGTATCTGCGGCTGTGGCCATCGCCATGATACCGCGCCCGCCAGAGTCACCGACTCGCGATGCAGTGCCCGCGCGCGAGCTTACTCTGCAGAGCGCGCTGGGAAAACCCCAGCGGTCAGTGCCACCGCGGCGGCGCCGGTCGCGATAGACTACCCGGCCGCTCTGCGCGCGAGCCTGGGGCGCACAACGCGGCCGCGGCGACGCGAAAGCCTGCGCGAAGCAGGAGCCGCAATCGCCGCCGCATGGGCTTTGCAAACAGCATTGCGGGTGGGCGGGTGGGATGCTTGCGCGAGCAGTGGAGCTGTCAACTTCTTTTTCGGCAGTGCGAACTGAATCGAAGAGGCGCATCAATGCTGAGGCCCGCAATGATGTAACGATGTAAAGATACATGAATACCTCTTTCGCTACTCAAACAGCAGTCGCACTGACTGGTCATATTCTGATGTCGACATCTTAGCATAAACGGCCGCGGATGCGCTCGCTCCTGCTTTGCCCCCGCTCGCTCACGCTGCTACGCTGCCCCCGTTAGTCGGGAAGGCGAACGGGGCGCATCGCGCCATGCTCTGCTCAGGCATTACACCAGACAGGTGCACGTTACATGTTTCAATATACGCACCGATCGTCGCCAACGGCAAGCAAAAATCACTCCTCGCCGAGGGCGCCCGCTGGTTGGCCAACAGCCGCCCCACCCACGTCTTACTGCGCAGCTTGCTAAGGCGGGCAAACAGCTTGCTGCCAAGCATGAGCATGCACAACGATAGACGCCGATGGAACTCGCCATCGGCGCGTTTTGGACAAGCGACCGCCGATCGGCAACCCATCCGAAACAGGCTAACGCTAGGCAGCGCAAAATATGAAAGTTAGACCCTGCGGCCAGGCGCCTGTTACCAAGCATCGCAGAACGGGCGTCAAACGCCCGCTGCCGGGTGCCTGTCGCCAGGCCACGCGCGCCAATGTCCGCGACCCCGAGTACGGGTCAGGCTCAGCACCGCGTGCGTTATGCACTTCGGCGCGGCACATACTCCCGCGCAGCATACTGGATTGACTGAAGAACTGGCATCACCTGCAGCAGCAACTCGCGATCAATGCTACACGTTGTGTGCCCGTCTGCAGTCATGCCACGCACATCGCGCCACTAAAGACAATGTACCACATTCCTCTGAATCATCTGTCGTATCCAGCTGATACGGCCAAGTAAGGTGCATTCCGCTGGCTTCTTGAGGTCCTTGCGGGATAGAGATTAGCAGGCAAACTCGGCGTCGCCGGTGAGGGCGCGTTGGTACGGAGGCCACCTCGTTCCTATGCGGCTCTGAATGCTCCCGGGACCTCATGGCGCCCATCCTGCGCTCGCGCAGTGCAACCATCGTCGGGCAACAAACTTTTCCGCTGAGGTGCCCGACGGCACCTGGAGCAAATGTGAAGTTCGGCATGCGTCAACGAGGTGGATGACGGCAGTGCCGTTGAGCGCGTTGCCGCACCGTGGCAGGCGTGCCCCGCGAATGCCGCGTCCTTTCTCCTCGTCATCGACATCGCCCGTCAAGCGGCGGCATCTAAAGTCGCCGTGACAAGTTGCCCTGTCCGTCGGCGTCATGACTGGGTAGACAGACTTCTTTGGACAAGATATTAAGTGTCTGGCCACCGCGTCCACTTCCGAACTGGAACATCTGTTGGCCCCTGAACTCGCTGGAGGAAGACAGCGCAGACATTGGCAAAACCTTTCAACTCAGAGCATCAGCCAATGCTGCCCACAAACTAAACAACATGTCGGTCACCGGCTTCGTGGTCTTCTCCTCAGGTGCAGCTCCAGATAGCTCGGGGCGCTGCAGTGGTCGGAGTTGCTTCGCGTGCTCGCCTTGGCCCAGCGCGACAATGCCATTTGCGCGTCTGGAGCGAAGTGGCCATTATCAGTGCACGCGCGCTTGGTTGCCTTACATGCCCCAACTGTCTGTCGCACGCGCCGTCCGCACTCATCGACGCGATTCTCTTCGCCAGCCAGATCGATATCGCCCAATCGTTTGGCTGTAGCTAGGTTCGGGCCCACTTCAAGTTATCGGGCAATTTTGGCGTCTCGCAGCCCGAATCCTTCGCGTGAGAATGCTCGCGGGGAATCGCTAATGCCCGCGACAGGCTTCTTGCGCTGGAGACAGCGCTCTGCCTCGTCAAAGTCTTCGAGGCCCAGGGGTGTCCAGAGCGCAGCGACCGATGCAGGAGGGGGCGCGAAGCGTGTGAACCTATCCTGTATAGGTGTGGCCTGTATTGCACTATGTAGGGGCGGCTGCTGGAACCACTATGCAGGTGTGGCCTGTGAGAAAGGCTTCACTTATATCTAGAGAAACACGTGCCCATGCTTCCTCGCGCGCTGCCACGCTTGCTACAAGCTCCCAGCTGGCTGGCCCAGCCACCCCGTAAAATGTCTCGACGTCGAAGGCCTCAACGCCCATCTGGCCCCCCAGCGCGGGCCCGAGACGACTCGTCGGCCCCGTCTCGTCCTTCTCGTTTTTCACGAATTTCAACTTCTATACAAAGCGAGAGGTCACGACGCCTGAAGCTTCTGCTAGCAAGCGCATGCGGAAGCAGCGGGCTTGCTGACCAGCTGCGAGCGCGCGGAATGTAAGGCTTTCGACACCATGAAAAGATTCGCTTGGATCTCGGCCTTCGCCAAAAAGTCATCCTCATTCACAGCTGCTGCACGTTTGAGCGCCATGGTAACGCACGCGCGCAGAGTGGCAATGTCCACGAGGTCCAGCAAACAGCGCTTTTTTCTCTGAAAAGCAGTCTACATATGTTCCATGGCAATATGTATCTAACGCGCAGCTGTCGTCGTACTCACACGAACGCACTGGCATTGCGTAGGGGTGCGAGACGTAGCCCGGCCTGTTCCCAGGCTCAGCAAGCAAGTTTCCTAGATCGTCGCACATCGCAGAGACCGACGCGCATCCGTCGGGCATCATTTGCGCCGGCAGAGATATAGACAGGAGCAGCGATGGCTTCCACAGATTTCCATGTTGCGCTTCTTTTCCTTGACCTCGTCGCGCAAATCCCCCATCGCGCGCGCGCGCCCCTCCTCCGCATTCTCCTGGATCGCTGGGGGCCGGCCCCTGCCAGCTCCGGCCGGCGGCTCTTCGGCAGTGCTGTCGCGCGGTCGCTCACCTGGGCCATTGAGTGTTCACCTGTCCGCGCGCGCGCAGCGCGGAAGCATGCGTGCGTTCTTGCCGAAACGCATTGCAACGAGGTCTT